GAGAGGCGGAAGAGCTTACAATCTATTAGGGGATAAGGGAGGATGCAGATGGCAGAAGAGCTTGAAATCTCTTAGGGTATAAAGGAGAAGAGGAGATTAAGGGGGGATATGATCTCCATGTATAATACATAAGGGGTATATGATCTCCATGTATAATACATAAGGGGGATATGATCTCCATGTATAATACATAAGGGGGATATGATCTCCATGTATAATACATAAGGGGGATATGATCTCCGTGTATAATACATAAGGGGGGATATGATCTCCATGTATAATACATAAGGGGGATATGATCTCCATGTATAATACATAAGGGGGGATATGATCTCCATGTATAATACATAAGGGGGGATATGATCTCCATGTATAATACATAAGGGGGGATATGATCTCCATGTATAATACATAAGGGGGGATATGATCTCCGTGTATAATACATAAGGGGGGATATGATCACCATGTATAATACATAAGGGGGATATGATCTCCATGTATAATACATACGGGGGGGGGGGGATATGATCTCCACATACAATACATAAGGGGGGATATGATCTCCACGTATAATACATAAGGGGGGATATGATCACCACGTATAATACATAAGGGGGGATATGATCTCCACGTATAAATACATAAGGGGGGATATGATCTCCACGTATAATACATAAGGGGGATATGATCTCCATGTATAATACATAAGGGGGGATATGATCTCCATGTATAATACATAAGGGGGATATGATCTCCATGTATAATACATAAGGGGGGATATGATCTCCACGTATAATACATAAGGGGGATATGATCTCCATGTATAATACATAAGGGGGGATATGATCTCCATGTATAATACATAAGGGGGGATATGATCTCCATGTATAATACATAAGGGGGATATGATCTCCATGTATAATACATAAGGGGGATATGATCTCCATATATAATACATAAGGGGGGATATGATCTCCATGTATAATACATAAGGGGGGATATGATCACCATGTATAATACATAAGGGGGGATATGATCTCCATGTATAATACATAAGGGGGATATGATCTCCATATATAATACATAAGGGGGGATATGATCTCCATGTATAATACATAAGGGGGGATATGATCTCCATGTACAATACATAAGGGGGGATATGATCTCCATGTACAATACATAAGGGGGGATATGATCTCCACGTATAATACATAAGGGGGGATATGATCTCCACGTATAATACATAAGGGGGATATGATCTCCATGTATAATACATAAGGGGGGATATGATCTCCATGTATAATACATAAGGGGGGATATGATCTCCATGTATAATACATAAGGGGGATATGATCTCCATGTATAATACATAAGGGGGGGATATGATCTCCATGTATAATACATAAGGGGGGATATGATCTCCATGTACAATACATATGGGGGGGATATGATCTCCACGTATAATACATAAGGGGGGATATGATCTCCATGTATAATACATAAGGGGGGATATGATCTCCATGTATAATACATAAGGGGGATATGATCTCCATGTATAATACATAAGGGGGGATATGATCACCATGTATAATACATAAGGGGGGATATGATCACCATATATAATACATAAGGGGGGATATGATCTCCATGTATAATACATAAGGGGGGGGGATATGATCACCATGTATAATACATAAGGGGGGGATATGATCTCCATGTATAATACATAAGGGGGGGATATGATCTCCATGTATAATACATAAGGGGGGATATGATCACCATGTATAATACATAAGGGGGGGATATGATCTCCATGTATAATACATAAGGGGGGATATGATCTCCATGTATAATACATAAGGGGGGATATGATCTCCATGTATAATACATAAGGGGGGATATGATCTCCATGTATAATACATAAGGGGGGGATATGATCTCCATGTATAATACATAAGGGGGGATATGATCTCCATGTATAATACATAAGGGGGATATGATCTCCATGTATAATACATAAGGGGGGATATGATCACCATGTATAATACATAAGGGGGGATATGATCTCCATGTATAGTACATAAGGGGGGATATGATCTCCATGTATAATACATAAGGGGGGATATGATCTCCATGTATAGTACATAAGGGGGGATATGATCTCCATGTATAATACATAAGGGGGATATGATCTCCATGTATAATACATAAGGGGGGATATGATCTCCATGTATAATACATAAGGGGGATATGATCTCCATGTATAATACATAAGGGGGGACATGATCTCCATGTATAATACATAAGGGGGGGATATGATCTCCATGTATAATACATAAGGGGGATATGATCTCCATGTATAATACATAAGGGGGATATGATCTCCATGTATAATACATAAGGGGGGATATGATCTCCATGTATAATACATAAGGGGGATATGATCTCCATGTATAATACATAAGGGGGGATATGATCTCCATGTATAATACATAAGGGGGGGATATGATCTCCATGTATAAATACATCAGTGGTTCATATAGTGAACTCGGTGTAGTTATTCACCCTGAGGTCATCACAGAGGACAAGGGGGCACTCTTTACGTCTGGAGGAAAAGAAATGTAACCTCCGTATCCCGCCATCATAATTGGCCATGCCCTCAATCTGCGCTTTGCACTGTTTGTACTCAACCCCATATGTTGGGTGGGTCCAGGTGTACCCAGAATTTTTAATCACCCCAACCCCCCCCGCCCCCCCCCCCCCCCCCCCCAGCTATTCGTCTTCAATATATAATGGACGTTCCATTTAAAAAAAAATTATTTTTTTTTTTTTTGAGGAAAGAAAAGAAAAACCTGTCTGTCCACAACAGCGCCATTCAAAGAGCCTCCACAACAGCACAATCCCCCCCCATGAAAAGGTTTTTCCTAGCTGATGATAATTGCATTCCTGCAGCAATCAGGAAAGGGACAAGTCACAGGTCACGACTGGGGCCCCCAGCATGGGAACAATAGCTGCTAGCACTCTGGCAAGGCATGCTGGGAATTTTGGTTCGGCTATCTCATGCAATCGGTGGGGTCGGCCCTCACACCTCCCTGACTTCATGCTGTGAGATTACAGGAGAAACATAAGGCGGTATACAATGTAACGCTGCGTTCCGTTGCTCCTAGAGGTTCTCGGAGCTTACGGGTTGCTAAGCAACAGCTTATAACGCGCGCAAAGAATTAAACACCGATCCCGTAATTAGCTCGGGAAAAAGATACCGCTTTTTTATTCGACTGTTTATTTATTTATTTCTTTCTCACAATTTTTTGCATTTTCTTTAAACAAAAAATAAGATTTGTGATACATAGCGGCCCGACATTATAAAATGTTTTTCAGGGTCTCATCCTCTGATCTGATATGTAGGAATCCTGTCTGTATTATGTATACTACTTTATTATTTTTCTTACATCGGAATTTTTATGTTGTGAATTAAATGTTTGCATTGTTAAAGGCCTGGGGTGGGTTTACAGCAAGAGGCGGAGCATACTAAAGCCGGCCATACACGGGTCGAATTCCGAAAGAATTTTCTTTCGAATATCTTTTCCATGGATTTTCGTTCGAATTTCGCACCATTACCCCCGGTTCACATGCGGGCCGCATTTTGCACGGACACGAGAGCCCATTCATTTGAATGGACTCCTGTCCCCCGTGACACACAGGGAAGAAGTCCCTGCACTTCTTCTGAAAACGCATCCAGCGCGGGAACTTCGGTTCCCAGTGCGGCTGCGTTTTCCAGTGCGGGCGACGTGCCATTAGAAGTAATGGCCCCCTCCCGCGGGTCCGCATTCCTCTGTGCGGGTGGTTTTTGTGTGGATCCGCAGCCGCACCACCCGCACATATGTGAACCAGGACTTAGTGGGGCCACAGAAACGTCCGATTTTCATGCGATCGTTGAATCTGAATGATCGGGCATGTTGGAAATTTTTGGAAAAGTGTTTAAACAATGATGGGAGAATCGGGCGAGAAATGTCATCGAAAAGGAAACGAGCGTGAGCTGTGACCTGGAAAGAAATAAAATTCATGGCCACGAAAATTCTTTTCTGTAGCAAGATGTGAAATTGAAAGCTTGGTTGTAAGAATTTCAAATCAATGATGGTGATGTTGGGTTCCCAAAGGCACGAAAATTCCAATTTTTTAAAAGAAAATTCTTTCGGAATTTGACCCGTGTATGGCCGGATTTATTTATGAATTTATTGTCAAAAGCAGGTTGCAACGGTGTGAAATAAGGCCGATGTTGGTAAGGTACAAGATACAGACATGTGATGGAAGGAAAAGCAATAAAAAGGAAAGAAGAACAAAAACACAGAGAGATTTCCTTCAGCCATGTCACTCGGGTATAATTGTGTATTGACGTTTGCGTCTTATCCCGGATCCTTTGTAAGCCTTGGATTGTTCAATATGTGGTCATTAAATCCCTCTGCTTCAAGAAAACGTATCTGCCTGTATCTCTCAGCATTGAGGATGCCATTGATCCTGACCAAATCTCCAAACCCCTTTTGCAAAAATGCGGCCCCAAACTTGCAAGGAACCTCCACCATGCTTCACAGTTGCCTGAAGACTTACAGTATTGTACTCCTCTCCAGCCCCTCGCCAACAAAATGAATCAGTCCAGAGCCCCTGCTGCCATTTTTCTGCACCACAGTCCCTTGTTCATACTTAGTCGCTTAGCCTTGTTTCCACATTGGAGATATGGCTTTTTGGCTGCAATTCTTCCACGAAGACCACTTGTGGCCAGACTTCTCCAGACAGTAGATAGGTGTATCCAGTGGCGTCCCGAGGCAGGTGCGGGGGGTGCGGTCCGATCCATCCTGCGGGGATCATCGGCTTTCTTTACAACTTACCTTTTCTTGGAGCGGGTCTGGTGTCACCCTGCTGCCCCCCTGAAAAATGCCGCCCTAGGCAAATGCCTTGTTTTCCTTGTGGTAAATACGCCCCTGGGGACAGGTTGGTACACACCTAGTGATAAGTACACCCAAAAGCGTCCCTAGGGTTGGTGTTGGTGCGGTAACACTTGGTGACACCCCCTCCGACAATCCCCGCAGAATGGATCGGATCTGCGGATTGAGCATAATGGATTGGACTCCGATCCTACGGGGATCGTCAGCTTTCTTTACAACTTACCTTTTCTTGGAACGGGTCCGGTGTCACCCCGTATAGGTTGCATGCCGACGATCCATCCTGCGCGGATCATCGGCATGCAACCTATACGGGGTAACACTGGTGTAGCGGCAAGATGTGTCTCCCATGTAGATATATCCCCCCTGAAGCAACTGCGCAACCACCGGGACATGCGCAGTTGCTTCAGGGGGGACATATCTACATGGGAGACACATCTTGCCGCTACACTGGACCCGCTCCAAGAAAAGGTAAGTTGTAAAGAAAGTCGACGATCCCCGCAGGATGGATCGGATCTGCAGACTGGTGAGCATAATGGATTGGAGTCCGATCCGTTATACTCAATCCGCAGATCTGATCCATTCTGCAGGGATCGTCGGAGGGGGTGTCACCAAGTATTACCGCACCGGGTGACACCAACCCTAGGGACGCCTCTGGGTGTACCTATCACTAGGTGTGTACCAACCTGTCCCCAGGGGCGTATTTACCACAAGGAAAACAAGGCATCTGCCAAGGGTGGCATTTTTCAGGGCCCCCCCCCCGGAAGAAGGGATGGAAGAAGGGACACATGTGGCATGGGGACCAGATGAGATCCGAGAGAAGGTTGTGGGCTGCTTGATGTTGTATGGAGAGCCCGACTCTCGTTCTGGGGGATGTCCAGAGCTGTGAAGTTGAGTGGGTTTTTCTCTCTCTCTCTCTCTCTCTCGCGCCGTGGGGGGGGGGGGGGGGTGTAGTATTAGTAGAAGGCTCTCTCAGGGGTTGGGCAGGGTTGTTGTTGGTCAATGTCAGGCTCTCTCCGTGGGGGGTGCCTGATTTTTGTGTTGCCTAGGGCAGCACACAACCTAAATACACCAAAAGCACGGAGAGGCTTCCATACACTGATAACACAGCGCACTTTGTTGTATTGTATCCTCGTGATTTGTTACATATTGTTACATATTGCATCCTTGTGATTTGTTACATATTGTATCCTCTTGAGTTGTTACATATTGTTACATTTGTACTCGTGATTTGTTACATATTGTATCCTCGTGATTTGTTACATATTGTATCCTCGTGACTTGATACATATGGTTACATATTGTATCCTCGTGATTTGTTACATATTGTATCCTCGTGATTTGATACATATTGTATCCTCGTGATTTGATACATATTGTTACATATTGTATCCTCGTGATTTGTTACATATTGTATCCTCGTGATTTGTTACATATTGTTACATATTGTATCCTCGTGATTTGTTACATAATGTTACATATTGTATCCTCGTGATTTGATACATATTGTATCCTCGTGATTTGTTACATATTGTTACATATTGTATCCTCGTGATTTGTTACATATTGTATCCTCGTGATTTGTCACATATTGTTACATATTGTATCCTCGTGATTTGTTACATAATGTTACATATTGTATCCTCATGAGTTGTTACATATTGTTACATATTGTACACATTGTATCCTCGTGATTTGATACATATTGTTACATATTGTAGCCTCGTGATTTGTTACATATTGTTACATATTGCATCCTCGTGATTTGTTACATATTGTTTCATATTGTATCCTCGTGATTTGTTACATATTGTATCCTCGTGATTTGTTACATATTGTATCCACGTGATTTGATACATATTGTTACATATTGTATCCTCGTGATTTGTTATATATTGTTACATATTGTATCCTTGTGAGTTGATACATATTGTTACATATTGTATCCTCATGATTTGTTACATATTGTTACATATTGTATCCTTGTGATTTGATACATATTGTTACATATTGTATCCTCGTGATTTGTTATATATATTGTTACATATTGTATCCTCGTGATTTGTTATATATTGTTACATATTGTATCCTTGTGATTTGATACATATTGTTACATATTGTATCCTCGTGATTTGTTATATATTGTTACATATTGTATCCTCATGATTTGTTACATATTGTATCCTTGTGATTTGTTACATATTGTTACATATTGTATCCTCGTGATTTGTTACATATTGTATCCTCGTGATTTGTTACATATTGTTACATATTGTATCCTCGTGATTTGTTACATATTGTATCCACGTGATTTGATACATGATTTGTTACATATTGTATCCTCGTGATTTGTTACATATTGTTACATATTGTATCCACGTGATTTGTTACATATTGTATCCACGTGATTTGATACATATTGTTACATATTGTATCCTCGTGATTTGTTACATATTGTTACATATTGTATCCTCGTGATTTGTTACATAATGTTACACATTGTATTCTTGTGATTTGTTACATATTAGGCTCCCCATTGTCCACCAGGCACGACTCCATCACATTATTCGTGGCCCCTCTAGAGGGTTCATGGAGTCGAGTCTCCGCAGATCTATATAACAACTCCCAGCAGTTCGCCATCTAAATGCAAACACCAATCTGTCCTGTGACGCGAGATCCGTTGTATCAGGTTCTTTTTTTGCGCTCTGGTATTTTTTTTTTAAATAAATGTTTTCCTCGTCGGCATGACACACGACTGCCAATGTGTCGATAGAAGGGGAAAAGATTCCTATAGCGGATAACAAGTCGTTCCGCGCCACGTCTTCCCTCCGGCTACAAGGCTACCTGGAGATAGAACATCTAATCTTTATGGAAAGTGACATAACAGCTACATTTTCCTCCTGACATCCCGCGCCGCGACGGCAAAATTGAATCTGCTCTGTAAATCGGGTTGTAGGGATCTTCGGCCATCAGGATTTATCGCTCCTTAACAGCATGCTGTATCTTTCTGTAAAAAAAAAAAAAAAAAAAGTGACCGCAGACGCTTGTTAAAGATATAAATAACGACAACCGAAATCCGAGAAAGTCCTAAAAAAAATAATCGCATTAAAAAGATTTATCGTGAGTGTCTTTTGACGGATGAAACGCACGGTTTTCCTAGTGGTTATCCCAGCAAGGTTCAACTTCAACAGAATGGCGTGAATGCCTAAACCACACCTCTTTTTCACTTTTATTACCTATTTGACCCTCGGAAGGTTTTACCCCCTTCATGACCAGGGCAATTTGTTTGCTATTCTGCACTGCGCTACTTTAACTGGCAATTGCTCAGTCATGCAACCCTGTACCCAAATGAAATGTATATCTTTTTTTGTTTTGCACACAAATAGAGCTTTCTTTTGATGGTATTTGATTACCAATGTTTTATTTTGCTATATAAACTAAAAAAGACAGAAAATGTAAAAAAAAAAACAACAATATTTTCTACTTTTTCTGTTAGAAAAAACATCCAGTTAAATCCAAATTCTTCATAAATGTAGGCCAAAATGTATTCTGCTACATGTTTTTGGTAAAAAGCAAACTGCGTTTTTGGGGACAATAGTAAAGTTTTTGGTAAAATACAAAATGTGTTTTTGGGGACACTAATAAGTTTTTGGTAAAAACCAAACTGCGTTTTTGGGGACACTAATAAAGAATTTGGTAAAAAGGGGACACTAGTATAGTTTTGATTGTGATGAAGATACTGATTTGTACACACACTATACTGGTAAAGGCGGGGGATCAGCGACTTATATTGTGACTGTGATAGTGTGGTGGGCAATCTGGCGCTAAGTGACACTGGCTGGGAAGGACAGTAACTGATTAACTGACACTGACGTCTTACTCTTTCCCTCTCTGCTGGCACATTCCCCTCCCCGAACCCTGGTCCTCCACCACCTCGCCCACACACAAGGCACCCTCTTACTTCCACGTCCTGCCGCAACCCCCTCAATCTAATACCTGTCCCTCTGCTCCCCAAAACCACCTCCCCATTTTCATGTGCACTCTTGAACGCCTGATCGGTTTGCAACAAACTCACCGCCATCCACGACCTCTTTATCTCCCGCTCCCTTAACCTCCTAGAGATCACAAAAACCTGGATCCAAGCCACTGACTCTACCTCCCCTGCGGCACTCTCCTATGGAGGTCTCACCTGGACCCACTCACCTAGACCCAGCGGTCGAAAAAGTGGTGGGGTTGGTATGCTCCTGTCACCGCAGAGCACCTTCCAAGTCCTCCCAAACCCCCCTCCCTATCCTTCTCCTCCTTCGAGGCCCACTGCGTCCGACTATTCTCTCCAATCCCTCTGAGGATTGCAGTAATCTATCGGCCTCCTGGACCCGTATCCCGCTTTCTCGACGACTTCTCCGCCTGGCTACCCTTCTTTCTCTCCTCCGAGCTACCCACCATCATTCTTGGGGACTTCAATATCCCTATCAACATCAATATCCCGGCTACATCCCAACTCCTCCACTTAACCTCTTCTTTTGCACTTGCACAGTGCATACAGTCCACCACCCACTCCGACGGGAACATCCTGGACCTTGTCTTCTCCCATCTCTGCACCCCCCACAACCTCACAAACACCCCTTTTCCCATCTTTGACCACAACCTCATTACCTTCTCTGTCTCCTCGTCCTCAAACACCTATCCCTCCAAACGTCAAACTATTACGAACCAAAACCTCCGCAACCTGAACCCTGCCTCTCTCCACTCTGCAGCTGATCAACTTTACAACAGCATCCTTCCCCTGTTCTGCCCTGACCTGGCCATGACTGCCTATAACAACTCGTTATCAGCCGCCCTAGACTCTCTAGCACCCCCAACAACACAAAGCATTAGACCCCGACCGCTACAACCCTGGCAAACTGACCACAGCAAAAACCTCAAATGACGCAGTCGTGCGCTGGAGCGACTATGGCGCAAAACCAGATCACAACAATCGTTCACCACCCCACCTAGCCCCCCCCCCCCCCCCCCCCTCCACCGAAAACCCCCTCAACCCACTCCACTCCCTCGTATACACTCTCACGGCTTCAACTACCATCTCTTTTCCAATGACATGCAAATCTACCTCTCTACCCCTCACCCCCTCAGTCTCTGCCCGAATCACCTGCCTACTAAGCGACATATCAGACTGGATGTCACTCCACTTCCTCAAACTAAATCTTTCCAAAACTGAGCTCCTAGTTTTCTCCCCCCAGCCCCCCCCCCCCCCCCCCCCCCCGAATTCTCCATCAAGACCAACAACAACACCATCAGTCCCACCCTGCAAGCCAGAGTACTTGGTGTCATCCTAGACTCCCATCTATCCTTCCAGCCCCAGGTCCAATCACTGACAAACTCATGCAGGCTCCACCTCCGCAACATCTCCAAAATACGTCCGTTCCTAACCCCAGACACTACAAAGCAACTCATCCACTCCCTCATCATATCACGACTCGATTACTGCAACTCCCTTCTCACCGGCCTACCCCAACACAGGCTATCCCCGCTTCAGTCTATCCTGAATTCTGCATCCAGACTCATCCACCTTACCAACCGCTCCACATCCACCACCCCCCTCTGTCATTCCCTCCACTGGCTTCCAATTGCCCAACGGATAAAATT